AATTATTCATCTTAGAGATTATAACTCTTGTGAGTTTTAGTGCGTTATGTGTAACACACCAATTTTTTTTTTAAATAATTTAACTCAACCATAGTTGGGTTACAGCCACCCAACATATTTTTATATCAATAATTTCAATATAAAATATTTTATAATTGACTTCAACTCACACAATATAACATTTCAGATAAATTTTTACCTCCCACATGCCACTAGGCTAAATCACATTTATCCATCCTTATACTCCCAACAAGTAAACTAAATCGCATCTGTCCATCCTTATACTCCCAACAAGTAAAATAAGCAATTTAGTCAATTTTCAACACAAGTTAGTTATTTGGCCTCATAATCGTGCCATTTTAACCAATCCAAAGTAAACCAAATATTAAAATTACAGTCATCCAAATTGTACCAAAAATAAAAATAGTTTGAAAGGCATGATTACATTTATATATTCATATAATTGACAATAAACAAAAAGCCCTAATATTGGCAATATAACACATTATAAATCATAAATCAAATATCCAAAAGAGACGGTGGATCAATGCCACTAAGCCTCTGGGACTCCTCCACGTGTCACTCGTGGCTCTTCTCCTGAAAATTGTTAACCACATAATGAGACTTAAAAGTCCCAGTAACCAAAGCTAATTTATGATAGTGTGTACAAACAGTTAAGTGTGTGCTTACTAAGTAGGAATCAAAAATAATATAATTTCAATAAAATATAAAAAATATTACAATACACACAAACAACCATCCTTATATCCCTCCATTAACCTCGAGCCGTAGTCCTCACTCGGTGCTAAATTACCCGACCAAAGGTAGATTAGCCCGAGCCTTTACAAGCCACCTATTGAGCTCCAATAGGGGTGTACTACGTGGCACATAAATACAATAACAATAGCAAGTCTCTCAATACCTCCTACAATAATCAAACAAATTCATAATAATATTGCACAATTATAAAATATTACAAAATTCATAATTTTCTCAATAATCACCCAATTAACATGAAGTAACACTAATCATAAATTAAATTAAAAGCATGGTTACCTTGTGGCTTTTTTAATAAATTATTCCTTACAATTTCTCTCCCACCACAAACTTCACCAATAATACAATCTACAAATAACATATTATTTATAAATATTAGTTTCAATTTTTGAAAATAATAAAATAATTCTAATAATAGAATTAAAAATATAACATAATTCTTAATTTTAAATCTTAATACAAATCTAGAGTTAATACTATTAAGTAAAATTTTTAACTCCTCTTTTAATTATTAATAAACATTAATAATCTAAAAATTAACTTCTAAACTAATTTCTTTTATCAAAATTTTCTTTTTATTTCATAAATTCGCACCTAAAATATTCAAAAATTAAAAATTGAATCTCTAACTTAGAATCATAATCCTATAACCATAATAATTCATTTTTCATCCCAAATAATCATCTAAACCTCAATAAATCAACATATATTTTCAGATCTAGTTTAGAATTTGATCCATAAGCCACAAATTCAAAGATCATCAACAAATTTATACTCTAGAATATTTATTATACTACTAACAACCTCATAAACCATATTTATTCAACATAAATTCATCCCTCTTCCAGATCCTAAATTTTCTACTACCACAAAATCAGAAACCAAAGAGGAAGGATGATTAAGAAAATTTTTTAGAACACTTACTTAGTCTTGAAAAGTTTAAAATCACACCCTAAATATCCTATTAAAAACTCTTACTTTAAAATCCAGTACCGGTGAACTTGGCTCACAGACGCTCTCTCTGCCTCAGCTCACGCACGAAGGAAAGAATGAAGAAATGAAGAAAACAGGTGAGTTTTTATAAAAAAATTCAGTGGGTCCCACATTTTTTTTATTTCTTCTTTCCTCTCTCTTCTTCTTCTTTTTTTATTATTATTTTATACAATGATTGCACGGACGCCGAAAGAGGAAGCCAAACTTTCTTCTTCTTCTTCGTCCCCCCTTTTTTTAATACCTTTTTCTTTTTTTATTATAATAATAATAATTTAATAATATTTTTTTATTATTTTTTTAAATTTTTTTAATTTTAATTTAGAATTATATCCTAAGTTAGATTTAATAATCATCTCCTACTAATTTATTTACCTCTAAATATTTTTTAAAATTTCTATTAATCCAAATTAACTATTAAAATTTAAATTAGGATGTTACATTATGGTGGCATCTTGTATAAGAAACAAACGTAATCAAGAACGTGGTTAACTCTTGTGGGGTCTTCAAAGATTAAGGTTCCTAGAGGATCTTTTTATTGATCATTATCTCATTTTTCATTTCATTTCTTTCTTTGTCCTTTTCTTTTTATTCTCGTGTTTTTATTGCGTTTTAGGGTTCTATTCTTAAATTAGCATGATTTTACTTTTGCATCCTCTATCAATATAAGAAGGACATTGATTATGAATTTCATGTTTCAGCCATATGATTGTTATTATTATGGTCTAACGTGATTCGATAAGGGTATGTGGTTATTAGTATTGTGACCTCCTATGTGTTTTGTTGTTTATATATGATGTGAGATGATATCTATTTATGCTTGTCAAACATAGTTGTTAGTATTGTGGTTATGGCCAACATTTGAAAATTAAACCAATTTGTGAAAGAATTATATTTGGCATTTGCATCTATAATTAATTGATGTGCATTTATATAGGCTAAGTTAACCTTGGTTACTGAGTAGTTATACTAACCCATTTATCTTCAATAATACAAAGCCTAGCTCATTGGATTAGGATTGAGAAAAACATCCTGAGGCATAAAATCTTTCCATCTTAATTGTAGGTCTCGTGTAAATTTGGTTATGTGTATTTTGATGGATAATTTGCCAACTAGAAATGCATCATTTTATTATTTACACTATTTAATGTTTTAAAGTTTATTGGTATATTTTAGGTTCTAGGGTATTTTTATGTGAAAATTTAATATATTAATTGGGCTAAAATACTAGTATAAGTATGATATATTTATGTAGGGGATGATTGTAAAGAATCATAATTATCTATAATGAATTGGCTCCTCACTTTTATGTTTGTGACTAAGGGGCTGAATAGTAAATTGAGGTGTATGTGTTGTTTGTTGTTGTGGTGTATTGCATAAGTCCGTTATAGTTTATTGAATGTGGTTTAAGGGTCGGTATGAGCTCTTGGCACTTGAATTATGTAAGGATACCCAAGTTATGTATTATTGTGAAAAATAGTGGCTTTTAAAAATGAGTGTCTAACTTCTAATTAAAAAGTGATTTGATTATAAAATTAGTGACATTAACTAAAGCTCGAATAAATTTCTTTGTAGACACTTAGATCACTCAATTAGACTCGAACGGAGAAATGGAACACGTCAAAAGCTTGCTCTAGAAGTTGTCATTTGACAGCATGTATGTGGCCAAATTCGTGTAATGCACTACGGCGCATGGCACAAAAACAAATGTGCCGCAATGCATATATAACAAGCCATGGTGCACCCTTATTTTCTATACTGTATTGTTATGTTTCAACTATAATGCAAATGCTTAATACATTTTTGGGATCCTATGTTTTCACATAAAACCTCTACTTTGAATTTTTAACTTGTAAAGTGTTTTGAAAGTTTTAAAAACTAGGAGCCTATTTTAAAAAATTTACAAACTTGATAATCTATTTGGTTTAGTTCCTTGATTACTTTGATTTTAGAGTTAATTGAAAATTAGTAAAGATAACCTTACAAGCAACAAAACCCACCCACAACAATGAATGGCAAAAAAAAAAAAAATCCTTGCCACCTATTGCACATTTCTAGGCCCTATGGCTGAAAGTAATAGACTTTTATTACAAATTAATAGTGGGGGTAAGAATGCCTCAAGTTTAATTATTTAGAATTTAAAATGTACCAATTATGAGTATAAGATTCAAATCACCCATCAACCTATAATTTAAGGATCAAATTACGTATTAACCCAATACAAAATATAGAGTCTGTAAGATGAAAAATGTTCTTTAATACAATTATTTTCATCTCATGCCAAGCATAAGACAAAAAATACTGGGCTCATAAGTTTCTTGTATGTTATGTTAAGAGAATATAGTGCATTTAACCAACAGGGATTGAGTCTAGTAGAAAGGACTAAATTTTTATAACAGGATGAACCAAAGTTTTAATTCTCATTGAGAGAAGTGCTCACATTTAATGTACAATTGTGTTTTGATAAAATTTTGTAGTAGTGAGAAAAGCTTAATTTAAAAGAAATAAAACATCATGGATACTATACTCGCTTTAGACTATTATATATGTCATTGATAACTAATTCACGTTTTACAAAAAATATTAGTTGAACCTTATTTTTCTAAAATTTTTTTACTTTTTGCATTTATGTTATTGAATTTTTTTTAGTAACACGTGCATAATCTTTAAATATGAAGCACTTAAAGATAAAAAATATAAAAAAAGGGTTATAAATGGTAAAAAAATATAAAATTTACTTAATACTTTATGTTTTAAATTAGGAGGTGCTTCTTAAAAAATGATTTATATTGTGGTTGGAATGACTCTGAAATAAAACTAAATAAAATGGGGTCACGTGAACTACAGTGCATCTGCATAGAAGCTTTTAATAGGATTGTGTCATGATCCATCGAGCATGGAATTCGGCACCGAATATGGCACTAATGGTTTCTCTCCCTGTTGACGCGTAAAACGGTCCACAATGAAAAGGTAAAAAGAGAACAGATAATCCAATCGCTTTTCTAACCAACAAAACTTTAATCTCCCTTCCCCACCGTATCAACTAATCTTAGTGCAAATCCACGAGTTGACTCTTTAATCTCCTTCCTTTTAACGGATACAAAATCTCTTCATGGACACTCTTTAATCTGCCTCTAATCAAGAGAAAACTAATTCCCGACAATGCAGCTAAACACCCTAATTTCCCCTTGCCCTTCTTGGAACCCCATTATTGTTGATCCATTATTAATTAACTTAACAAATTACAGTGCCAAAATGGAGATCGAGCCTGCACATCTGTGTAATTAATTGAAAGATCGACGCCATGAAAGTGGCGGTGGAGAATTTGACTGGGACGCTTTTCTACGTGCAGATGAGCAATGACGCCACCGTGGCTGACCTAAAGAAGGAGATTGGGGCCCACCAGAAGATCCCTTGTGACCGTCTGATCCTCCTTCTTGATACTGATCTTTGTCCCCTGATGAATCACGACGAAGACGAGGACCAGAGGGTGTCCCTGCATGATTGTGGGGTCCAGGATGGGTCCCACATTTACCTCTTCTTCAATCCAATAGAGGATGAATCTAACAGCAATTACCATGTCTGCTTCACTTTGCCGGATGTTCTTCTCAACTAATTAGAAAAGAACATGCACGTAATACTTTATAGGGAAACATCTACCAAATTAAGGAAATATCACAGAGAGGTTAAAAGTTAAAACAGTGCTACGTTGTAGGATTCAGAATAATTTTTGGTTCTTGTATTCAGTTATTACTGGCCATTGGCATGTATGGATATAGAATAGTGTGTCATTTTTGTATTGAATTGGAAGTGAAAAGAGGGTTTATTGGCAATCACAAAGCCATGTGATCTTCTTCTGACTTTTATATAATAAGAATGCCATTCAAGCACATTCATGGTGTCAATCAGTCATGGAGTTGAACGTACAACCTGTTGCATGACAGCACACATTCATGGCCAATCGGTATAAAATCAGAAATAAAACAGATCATAAGAGCAATATATTAAGAGCAACACATCAAGAGCGTATTTTCGCGTCAGCCAGACCCTAATAACCAGTTGAGTTACTGTTTAAAAATTCATCATGGCTACTGAAACTTAATTACTCTCTCTCACACACGATACACTTCTTACAAATTCAAAGCTACTTCGTATAATTATAAATATAGGAGCTAGATGACCAATTTATAAATATTGAAAAGTTAGGTAAATTAATTATTTGTAAAAGATATATGTTGGTATTCCATAACTCTTTAATCATTTAAAATAGAAATTACCTTTATCAATGGAAACCCGGACCCCGGCCACTTTAATATGTTAATTAATATAACTTGTAGGAAAAAATATAAATATGAGAACTACTAAAGTAGATTGCGGTTTTTTCCATTTCACTTTTAAAATCAAAACAAACCTCTTGACAAACTCCCATGTTTATAATATATATATATATATATATATATATATTATGGTATCATGAGTATCCCCAAGAATGAAACTTATTAAATCTTATTTCGAAAATACGAGAGTTATTACTCGAGCTTTTTTGCGCCAACTAGTTTTTGAAGAGCAGTCTTCTCAAAGATGTTAGCCCTCACTCTCCCTCTCTCTATTTTATATATATATATATATATATATAAAAAATAATATTCTGTATGGCATGTGATTGAAGTCCCACCTATGCAAATGTCAATAATATAATGTGTTCCGATTTATACGAATCTTGACTAATTCAAGTTCACGAAATTATTGCAGTCAAATTTTGCCAAAAGTTGGTATCAAAATCATATAATTAGAATTAGAATCTTATTAAAATCATATAATTAGAATTAGAATCTTATTAAAACCGAAAAGAAGCATGCTGCTGATTCACTAAAGCTCAAAATTTTGCTTTATATTCCTTTTTTTTGTTTTTGACTTGAGCAGCAGGGTCTGGCCTGTGCTACACATATACACTTCAACAATTGGACTTTCATAGTCTTTTTTTTTAAATGTTCAAGCGAAAAAAAGATTCGGGACTTTTCACCTCAAGTTCTCAGTGAGCACTAGTTTAATTTGAGCGATATCAATTGGTTAGCCAGACTTGTGAGATTTTTTAATCAAACGGGCAGAAATGGTTTTAGCTGTCAAGGACCATCTTTATGATTCCGAGATTTTTGTAGAATATTGTACAGTATATGATAACTATTCTATATTTTTAATGAACAAAAAAAATTACTTAAAAACCTTTCAAAACATATACCATCCAACTAACAAGACGAGCGTGATAAATAAAGCAACATAACTACCACGAGAACCAAACAGCACAAAAGCGAAGCCTTCAACCATGCAAGATCAGAAGAAGAAGACAGATTTGTATATTAATGTGATGGAGCAAAAATGAGTATCAAAATGGAGACAGCTAAAGCTGATCGATTTTTCAGAGCATGACGGAGCAACAACCATGAACCAGTATGCCCTATAATCTTTAATTAATTGAGCTAGATTAGATTCCAAGCAAAGGGAATACATAGATTGATTTTCTTAATTTATTTCTATTGATTTTCTTAATTTATTTCTGGACTTAATTAATATTAACAATGCAGGGCGTTACAATTGAAAGGACATGTTTGGGGCCCAAGATCATGGGCCTTGCACCTAACCAAAAGCATCGTCTTCATCAGGTAACATTCAAAAGCACGAGGATCATTTCCAGCCATAACTGGCGACGAAAGCCTATAATTCCTTTTCAACTTTGTCCATCGAACACGTCAGCTTTGGAATTAATTAATCCAAATTAAATGAGTTCACCCAAGAATAAAACTTAACAAGTGGTTAAAAAAAATCATTTCTTATGAGTCATGGCGTACAAATATTAAGTTGTGAATTTTTTGGTTTTGATCAACCTTCACATACAAGCAAAAACGGGAGGGGACTGATAGGCTAGAAGAATCTTAGAAGTTAGATCATTCTGAAGGCCTAGAGACCAGACCACCACTGAGGTAACAGTACATTTTTTTAGTCTGAAAAAACGAATCATAACGGTAAAATTGAGGTTGTCAATCTCAAGGGGGGGATCAAGAGAGCATGTGATTGTTATCCAGAACTGATTTGCAGAGAAGTCAGGCCGGCTGAGTAATCTATTTCTTATTTCAAGATAACATATTAATAACTAAATATAGAAAACACGCACACGAATATATGGGAGAGTGTGTTCGTGTCCGGTCATGTATGTGCGTGTTGTCTAAATCTTTAATTGAAATTAAAATCGCAGACCAAAATTTGACCGTTCTCATTTTTGAAAACAAGTCAGATTTAAGAGCCGGACTTTTCATTTGCCACTGCATGGAAGAATCTCTTCCATCGTTTTGAGAGTTAATTTAATTAATTATTACTGATCAAGAAGCAGTAAAATCACTAGTACATTAGATTAATCTTGCGCACGCCTACTGTAGTTTTTTTTTAATCTACTCTATTTGCTTTTATCTCTTTGGGCGCTGCACCTTCAGGTCCGTACCAAACGGTAATTTGGAAGTTTCCTTGGGTGATAAACAATAATATTTGTTCACAAAATATAAATCGTTTTCTTTTGCTAACCTTGAATCAAAATATAAAATGTTTAGTATTTTTTGAATTTTTTTATTATTTTATTCTTGTGTTGATTTAGTTTATTATGTAGCATGATAATTTATCATATCTTTCTCAATTTATTTACCTTTCTCACATGATATTCTCTTTAAAAAATTATTGACATTGTTTGGGCTTAAAATAAGGTGACGTTGAATTAAGGCTAAAGTAATGGAAAACAAAGTGTTAGGCCTAGACAAACGAAGAGTGAGCCCTGATAAGTTGACTAATGAAGTAGAGCTTGGTTTGTCTAAAAGAAACCTGCTTGATTAAATAAGTGTTGAGTAGTTGAAAAGATGTGACTTATAAAATTCAGAATGACTAAGTTAGAAAGACCTTTATATAAATGTGGGATGGTTAATTGAACATGCCTCAAATTTCGAGAGCCCATACCAAGTCGGAGTGGTTATTTCGGCATGACCATTCAAGCTTATTGTTTGGTAGACATTATAAATAGGGTTTAGCTGAAGTAAAAAGGGGGACAACAAATATAGATACTAAAGAACAAATCACTCTATTTCCTTTTTACATTGCTTTGCACTTAGAATTTTAGCTCTTCTTCTTTACTTTCTTGTACTTCTACAACTCTATATAAACTTGTGCCATTAATCAAATTATTTTCCTTCAAACATTTGCTACATCTTTGTATTTGGGTAACCTATGATAAGGAATCCTGTGAATCCCTATTTGCATTGAGACCTTATGTCTCTAGCATGCTTGGAACTATATAGCCACAAATAGACATAAATACTCTCTTTCTAATTTAATTAATCATTAGTAATTAGGGCCAATTGGTAAATGGGAAAAAACCATAGATATAACTAAATTTCATTGGTGCCATGTGGATATTATAGTTGAAAGTTGCTTATAATTTATATCCTAGACAGTATTAATTATGAAGGGTCAATAAATTAAAAAAAATTAATCATTTGGTTCCTACACTTTGGACTCAGTTGTAACTCAATTTTAAATTTTAACTTATTGTAACTCAGTCTCTAAAATTTTAACTTGATTGTAACCCAATCTCTAAATTTTACATCTTACAATTTAGGCTTTATAGTTTCAATCACTTAAATATTGATCCTTATATTTTTAAAAAATAAAATTATAAAGATTAAAAATGTTTTAAAATTTTAAAATTTATAATATTTATAAAAGATTAAAAGGGACCAACATAATTTTAATCTCTATAATTTTATTTTTTAAGATATGAGAACTAATATTTGAATGATTGAAATTATAGGGATTGAATTGTAAGGGACAAAATTTAAGAATTGAGTTACAATTGAATCTAAAGTACAGGGACCAAATGATTAATTTTTTTAAATTAAATTAAACTAGAAAATTTCCTTCTTATGATTAAATTTGTAGATGCTTTGTTAATGAGTAATTATGAGTACTTCATATCAATAAGCACGACTTAAATTATACTCCCCTATTTATAAGGTGGAGAAAAAAATATTTTTTTATCCTAATTGTAAATCATGTAATTCAATTTTTACTATAAATTTTTTTGCCCTCTATTAAATATTTGTCAAAAAAAATACGTTATTAAAATATACATATTTAATAAGATAAGATTAAAAATTTATTTAATTTTTAAACAAAGTTAATAAATTTTAATATTTTTTATTATGATAAAACATGTTAAATAAAGTAATTTGTAAATAAAATTAGATGAGTATATGAGTATGAGAATGCATAGGTTCCCCAATTTCTTTGTCTTTATCCACTACTCTTCTTCTTCTTTTTTGATGAGTTCCTTCATCTACCCAATCTTAAACCGCGTATCAAGGGAAAATTGTTAAAGTTTAATTATCAGTATTACTTGTTGCAAGTATTATCAATGGTCGAAGGCAATTTAGCAAGCATTTAATTTAAAGGACTGGAACGTTAGAATGTGAAGTTGCGATTTACATGGATCTTGCGGTGAGTTACAATATATTATGTTTTTTTTCCCTAGCCAGGATGCGTCGTAATATTAACGTATACGAAATTATAGAATTTACTTAAAAAAAAAAATACATATGCACGAACATAGATTTAAATTGAAACCATCCTGAATAAAACCGACTTGCTGGAATTACCATGAAACTACACGTATACTTGCTCACCTCACTGCGCCACCGACACTCACGGACGGAAATGAGACTTCGGAATTTTTAATAAAGAAGATATCATAAAGTAATAATAACTATCAATCTCAATTCTTAATATTAAAAGAAATAAAAAAAAACTGCCAGGAAAGATTTTATTATTCTCATTAAATCGCTAGCTCGCTACCCATATGACACTTAATTTTTAGGTAGAACAATGACAAACAACATTTGACTTGGATTTAAAAATGAATTACAAGCTGATCTGTTTTATTTTTCAAAAAGAGAAAAAGAATGGTCTGCAAGTTAGTCAGAACAGCTTCTGATTAACATAGTTAATCCCTATATATGTCTTATTTCAATTTCACTCTTCCCGATTGCATGTCATTATGCTTGTTCGTGTGATAAAATGGGAGACGCGTCTAGTCTTATCAGATGCGAACCGTACCAACATGTTTAGACACGTAAATGAAAGTCTACTATAAAGAATTACTGTGCAAGTTCCAATCCGATGGTGCATGGAGGTAATTTTTTTATTTATTCATATTTACTCAATTAATGCAAAAGTGCCAAAAGATTCCTTTGTCTTTATGGTCTTACTTCTTCTAAGGGAACCAATTATTGGTTGCCATGGAACACATGGAAGCCAGTTAGGACCAAAACCTTTACGTTACATGTCAGAAATCGTTGTAGACGATATTAAAGAAAAGCTTCGTAGACTTACTCAGCATCAATGCATTAACTGGACAGACTTGACTCTACGAAGGTGACCCCAAAATCCTTGTAAAGTCACTTACGGTTTGGAACATGGGACTGTCCATGGAATGTTGAGTTATACCAAGTCACGTTGTCTGATTCATCACTCTTCATTCCCACATAAAAGCTTGACCTTATCCTATCCATGTTTGGCCAGCGGAATACCTCCATGATTCCCTCCATTACACTTGCCCTAATTGTCTGATGTGTGTGTGTGTTTCTATAAGAATACATATATCCCTTGTATTTTGGCATATGATCCTCGTTGTTACCTTTACTATTCCTTATCTTTAGGCCCCAGCAATTCCAAGTCTTTCAACTATTGGGATTGGGAGGGACAACTACAAATAAAATAGCAGTACTCCGTTCTTAAAGGAGGATGGGTTGCTTTTGATTAAATAAAAAATAATGGATGAAGAAAGGGGGAGGTAATTTGAGATTTTTTTTGGGTCACATTAGAGCCAATGCAACCATGACTTTGTTTATTTTCTCTAAACTCATGTTTAGGCAAAGCAAATCAGCCTCTAAACCCACGTTTAATTAAAAAAAAAAAAAACTCACTCATCTGTTCTGCGTTTGAGTCAAGCTCACGTTTTACAAACTTTAATCCAAATAACACAGCTTGGTATAAATTATAAAGGCACCAACACAAGTTGACTCAATTAATAAAAGTATATCAATAATATATTCAGTCATATATATTATGCAAATCCAAATCTTTTATGGGCCTGAACTTTGAGTTACTAATGTTTATGGTTATTTTTTCCCTCAAGTAGAACCTAGCTCTGTTCAATTTTCGAACACATGATAGATACAATTACTGTATTTGAAGACCAAAACAATAATGATTAATATTTTTACCATATTTAACACTAAAAAATCTTCACGCCAAAATAAGCAAGAATAAAAAAATCAGCATTTCTTGAATAGTACCAGCCAAGACTTCTGCAAGATGAACATGGTACAAGAAAACAACTTTATCACGTAATCTCAAGGTCTTGTTGAATACAGAAGATGGCAAGACAATAACAGAATCCAAGTGCATTTTGCTTGTCTAACTAAACCAGTTCTCTAATGCTCTAATAGCGGATTAACAAATGGAAGGAGAAGTACAGAAACCGATGCATATGCCGAACTGAATCTTTTTATTTTTTATTTTTTTATTTTTACCTCAGAGACATTCAAATTACAAACATCCGCAATATTCTATAATGCTGTAACATTCAAGCTTGCTTGTCCACCCTACAATTCATCTATCACGTTACCATCTCTTAACAAACATGTGCTTAGTTGGCAACGTGTAGCGTCTGCTAATATAATTTTAAACATATTAGACAGATCAACGGTATTTCAGTATTTTAAGCCATTGGAGCAGGTGTAAGTCCATTGTTTGCTGTATTGCCCCTTAGCTCTATTTGTGAGCCGCCGGATTTTTATTGGATTTTTGTGTTTGTAGCGTCGTGAAAAAAAGAATGTGCGCACACACGCGCGCACACATTTGAATCTATCTTTAAATTCAAAACCTTAATACACTAGGCTCATAAGTTTTTTTCCCCCATTTTCTTTACTTATGTGCATATTCTCTAATCTAATCCTATCCAATGCAAAAATTTATACCCAAGCAAAAACTGTTAACTGATATAAGTAAAAACTAGCAATGAGTTAAAGTTTTAGGTTAAGAAATAATACCAAATCCTTTTTTACATTTTGCAAACATGAATTCCATCTGCATTGGATGTTTTAGTCCCTGGATAAACTTGTTCAAAATGTAAGAGATCCACAATACGATATGTCAAATTTTAGACCTGGATGGCTCCCTGTAAGTTCAAGAAATTGTTGCAATGGTTAAATAAAAAGCTCTCTGTTCGGAGCTTGCTTCCATCGAAGTATAAGGACATGCCTAACTAACCATTTTTTTATTATACTGATAGCATCATTGAATGAAAAAGAATAATAAAGTAACATGAAGTAATACCTTATTGCACATGTTGGTTGGCTAAGACCGTCTCTATGATTTCGCACAGCTAGTGGATTATAAATCTATGATCACCAGTAGCGTGAATCATCCCGGAGATGGAATTGCTTCTTTGAAGAAGTAACTCACTATATATACAGACCGCTAGATAGGGACTCTGGCAACGAAGAGCATTGCAAACAAGACGAGAATGGCAAGCCAGAGTTTCTTGAGGGCTTTGATTCTGTGTCTCACAGCAATCGTTGGATTAACTCAGGCTCAATTGCAGCAAAACTTCTATGCCAAGACCTGCCCAACAGCCGAGGCGATCGTCTACAAATATGTTCATGAGCATATCCGCAATGCCCCTTCATTAGCAGCTGCTCTTATTAGATTGAATTTCCATGACTGCTTTGTCAGGGTATGCAATTCAAACGTTTTGCTTCTCATTTCATGTTCATTCTTGTAACTCAGTATTTTAGCATATGATATGGAGAGCTGATACTTCAGGAAGAGAAATTGTTGCTCAACAATTTGTGTTGCGGTAAGTGAGGACCTAACAAGACTTTTCGCATTTCAGGGATGCGATGCATCAGTGCTTCTGAACTCAACAACCAACCAAGCTGAGAAGAATTCTCCCCCAAATCTTAGCCTCAGAGGCTTTGACTTCATTGACAGGATTAAGAGCCTAGTTGAAGCTGAATGTCCCGGTGTAGTCTCCTGTGCTGATATTCTAGCTCTAACTGCCAGAGACGCTATTGTCGCCACTGTAAGTCTGAACTCTTCTACACCCTTACCTTTTCATTACACCTTCTTCTTCAAGAACAAAACTGACCCATTTGCTTGTTTCTTTCTTCCATCATGCAGGGTGGTCCCTTCTGGAAAGTTACTACAGGTAGAAGGGATGGGACTGTCTCTAACCTTACAGAAGCTTTGTTCGGCATTCCAGCTCCATTTCACAACATCACCGTCCTCCAAGGAATCTTTGCCGGCGTGGGACTTGATTTGAAAGACCTAGTCCTTCTCTCAGGTATTATGCCGACCACCCGGTGAGCATATTTACTGTAGACACAAAAGTAAATTCAGTGCTTCTAACCATGAAAAGTTTCAAATTTTTTTTAGGTGCACACACAATCGGCGTCTCCCATTGCTCACCATTCTCAAACCGCCTGTACAACTTCACTGGTAAAGGTGATCAAGACCCATCTCTAGACAGTGAATACGCAGAGAATCTCAAGAAGTTCAAGTGCAAGACCAGCACTGATAACACCACACTTGTTGAGATGGACCCTGGAAGCCGCAAGACATTTGATCTTAGCTATTATGTTCACGTGGTTAAGAGAAGGGGTCTATTCGAATCAGATGCTGCGTTGTTGAACAACCCAGTTACAAAATCTCTCGTCAACCTGCTGCTTCAGGGTTCAATGGAAAATTTCTTTGCTGAATTTGCCAAGTCTATGGAGAAGATGATCCAGATCAATGTCTTGACTGGGACACAAGGGCAGATCCGGAAGCACTGTGCCCTCGTCAACAACTAAGTGATGACTAGTCTTTCATCCATTCGGGTGCATTCTGTAATTTATTTTATTATTTTATTCTATTAATTTCTGGGGTTTGGCAATGTTTGTTCTTCTTCTTCTTTTTTGGGTAGGCAGTAATGTATGTTCCGTCTCAGTTGTGTCTTATTTGTTTGATCCCAATGATCAAGTTGTATGTTGTGGGCATAAATGAATCTCATTGTAACTTTCTGGTTTCAAGAGAGATAAGTTCTTGATATTAAGGAAAGGCAGAATTGAGAGATGATTCTTTGTCATTCCCGCAGCATAACAAAATGCAGTACAAATTTGCAAACACGTTTACATTTGCAACTTTATTCTAGATTGAAAAAAAAATTGGTGAAAATAAAAGAGAGTTTTGTACACTATTTTTTCATCAATTTTTTTCAAAAGAAAGAAATCATCAAAGAGATGACTAATTAAGTAATTATAACCATCACAACATAGAGAGGTACCAGCCAGCAGCATGATAGGAAGATGTTTTAAATTCACGAGTACAGTTAATTTTTTAAGCAGGTATGTAACATAAAATTCACCTCTAGTATGTATTTTCTTTTCACTAACATTACGTGATACACTTCTCGAGTAAGTTAGTGTGGGGATCCGGTTTTTCTACAACAGTGCTGCTGTTTTCCAGTAGCAAGTATCATGAATGTGTTTTTATTTTTATTATGAATAATTATTTTTTTAACATTCAACAATTAAGAGATTTTTTTTTTTTCAATTCTATACTTGAAATGGTTGAACCTTGAGAGTCAGGGAGTTTGAACCCTTCTGTTTTGGGCTATAAGAAGGTGAAAATATAGGTCTAGCGTTTACACGTCTGATACGGCCTATAATGAAGTCGAAAATAAATTTTGTTAAAATTATAAATTGATTGCGTAAATAAAATGAACAGTCACAATGTCGAATGAAACATGAGTTTATATTTATAGTATTCAATATTTAGTTTAGTTTTTAAATTTTTGACAAAAGTTAACATAATAATTTAGTATTAATTTATAAACGTAACAGCTATGATAGTTAATTTTAATTTCAAATATCATACACGAAAATAATTTCCATTTATTACAAAGAAACCAAAAACGACTCGAAAATAAAGTTCACCCACAAGACAGTCAAATTCCAGAGAAAAACAAATTATGTCATTTAATAAATCTCAGGAAAAAAAAAGGGGTAATTTAAGCATTTAGTATCCTGTTTCGGTCCAAAAAAAAAAAAAAGCATTTAGTTTGTTGTTTCATTTACAATATTATAGTTGTCGTCCAAAAACGATTAAGAAAACTCGAGAGCATCAAAGTACTTTTAATCTAGGTATAGTGATTAAAGATTACCTTCACTCAAAACCTCAGATTCAGTTCTGGCGCCAAAAAAAAAAAAAAGGAAAAAAAGAAACGGAAATCCCTTGGATTAAGTCAACCCCCACCCTTACCCCAAGATGGGACCCAGAAATATCAATGAAAATATGGACCTCAGAAAAGCTTTCCGTGCCAAATTTTCTGAAGACACTAGAATCAATCATATAGCCAGACGCCTGGACGAAAGATAGATGCCAAGTTCTTCATTCATCAAGTTATTTCCTGATCGTAAGATAGATGCCTGCTATTATGGCTACCCCAGCGACGGCGACACCTACGGATGAAATTATTTTTACTGCCGACGGACTTGATTCCGATGACGGAATTGTCATGAGATCCTTCACCTGATAAATAGCAAAAGAGATATTGACGCAACATAGTTTGATGCTGAATCATCGAGAAAATAGTTGCAACGAAATTTGAATTTGGAAAGTTCAAGAAATTGCCTAAGGAAGCAGCTGAAAAGCCAAAAAAAGGGGAAGTACTGAGCAATGATTTCTTTATCAAAGCAAACCTAAACTTCAATCTATTATGTTTTAAGCGCATATCAAATAAACATTAGTCTGGACTATAGATGGGGAAAACAATATGATTATTCAACGAATGTTCACGAACCATAACAGGTTGCTTCCAATGCTTCTTTATTCCTTGTAGATGCCCCTTTCCAACAACAGCAACAACGGAGCTATTCTCTCGCGCCACCTTCAATAATGAGGAGGACATGTATCTGATATTCAAGAGTTAAAATAAATTAGAATAAGAAGCATAGATGGACACAGCTTATATCCCAAAGTGAGGGCAGATTCTTGTTTAAAACAAACGGTGAAGGGAAACCTACAACATTGTGTAGGTTACCGGACATTGACATGCCCGTAAAAAGATGTTACACAGTGGGCAAGACATGTTGGAGGTAAACTCTCAACGAATTAAGACAGTTCAGAAAATTGCCAGATTAACATCTCATGCATGACCAGAAAGCATACAGTTTTTATTGCGATAATTATGGTGATGTTTTCTTTCATTGGAGCAGCAACCTATTCACACATATCAAGCAATAATGCAAGCTTCTCACTTCTGTGCACAGAAAAACAAAAGGGAGAGGGGAGGGGAGGTAGATGCATGCACTATATGGATTTTCTGTAAGCACACGCCACTGGAAAGTTGATGTCGCAAAGAGCTGGAAGGTTATATGTGGGGCATCCTCTCTTCTTAACCACCCCCACATTTCTCCCTTCTGAAATGTCAGCGTCAATTTACTCCCTTATGAGAGATGTGAGTGCACACTGAATTGACAAACAAGCTATCTGATTAAAACCACCAGAATGCCCTCATTACGTAGGTTACAAAATGCTGATCTTGACATAGAAACATTATGTACAAATTAGACTAAACAAAACGAAGGTGCGAGTGTGCAAAACAACTTACTGATCCCGTTCATGTACAAGGGTCTCCATTAGAGTTGGAAACTCCTTACTCATCTCCTGAATGACAAGAGTTAGCATGTCAACGTCATCCATTTCCTTCAGCTGAAGAAAGAAAACCCAGGATCCCATGTTAGGGTATAAGACAAGAATTCTGCATTAATATAATTACTTTATACTCATCACATGTATAGGAGGATTATGAAATTTACCATTTTATTAAGATCGTCTGGGCTGGGTAAAAAAATGGCTTGAAAAAGTAAAGAGTACAACAATTTAGTCTTATGCCAAAGTGGCATCTTTCTCCATGTTCTCCATATGGTAATCTGTTTCAATTGACATCATAATTCAAGATAAATTAATTCAGTCCTTAAAGGCAAATAATGAAGCATAGCCACACACAACAATCTAGTTGGGCAAAAAAAAAAACAGAAAAGAAAATCTGGAGACTGGAAAATAACATTGGATGAAAATAGTAACATTCCCACAACATTTTCTCCATGCTCATAATTATAGATGGGAAAATATAATTGAGCCCCTAAATTCTGACTCAAAACAACTCAGTTCTTATAATTTATTGAGTTAAAGAATTGTAGGAACTAAGTTGTTCCAAGTCAAAAAAACCTACAAGGACTGATTTTTTTGAGTCAAGAAACTACAAAGACTAAGTTGTTCAAAGACTAAATCAATGATTAAAAAAAAAATGTTCAATTACTAAAAGTTATATTTTCCCTTATAGATATTAAGGGTAAGCTTGCAAAAATTGAGCACGTTCCACTAAGCTTTATGCCTATGAAGTGGTGAACCACTAAACACATAGCATTCCCTGTCCCACAATTAAATATTCCTAACAGCCTTTCTGGTAGCTATATGACCCAATTTATCCTCAAGAAGGAAACAAAAGCGTTAGGAAATGGACAGTTATGCAATATTCAAAGTTGTACTCCACAGACGTGATTTCTTTTGTGATTGCAAATGATTGCATGTATGTCTATTGAAACTTGTTACTGGCTATAATTCAGAAGTCTCTCAGAACAATTCATCCAACCTGTACAGGACGATCACCAAGTATCACCCTGCCACCATACTTAATGGCTTCTTCATATGCTACCCGAAACTCAGAACCAGGAAAGACCTCAAGCTTACTAGCAACCTGTTAGAAATTTTGTACAGAAAAGGCAAGGTATATCAGGATAACAGCAAATAATTTGATTTTTTTTTTTTTGCAACAATTAATATGATCAGAAACATGGAATCATGCCTTGGCAAGGAACCAGCTGTAAAGTACTCCAAAAATGTTATGTTTTTTCTTCAACATTACAATCATTTCTCCCATGGTGGGCACCTAGAATGAGGAAATAAATAATTAGATAGATTGATAGATGAAATAGAACCTGAGCACATGGCATATTATATTTGCTGCAGCTAACACTCAGCAATAAAGCCACATGGGCATTAAAATTAGGTAAATTATGCTGAACTGAATACGAGACCAGTAAGAAGATACATTTCCGACCGAATTATGAAGAGACTTAATTGTCCCAATTAATTTCCATATTTTTCTTTCCTTTCAACAAACTGAGACTAAAAATGCAATTTGTAACAGCACATATTCCAATAGGGTTCTCTCTCATAGAATTTCTACAAGCTTCTACATTACTTTTTGGCCAATAAAAGCTTCTACATTCAATTCTGCCTCTTCTCAGATTTTCCTACTCCTAAGCTTATTTATGGCTTGAGGGAGTCTTTTGATCAGTTTTGAAGTCCCTGGTAGCCATTGGATAATATAGTACACTGTAATGCTTGAGTAAACATTACTATTTTCAGTATTTTTTTTCCAAGTTATACTTGTGAGTATACATTACTTTTTTCAGTTTTTTTTTAATTATAGTTATATAAATATTTTAGCCACTGCCTTTTTCATGTTAATTACTATATGATTTGAAAAATAGGCTTCATGATTCATGATAAGTATTCAGATTTGACAACTACAAAAATAATCGCACACAAGTATGGTATGATTTGTTGGTTAAAAAAACCAGTATGATATGATTCCTTAATAAGCGGAATACCCTATAGGTTGAAGCTAGACTAGTATTAGGATCTATTACCTAGCAAGCGGATATCAATAATAAGGAACTGATAAGCACTCTAAAACATATCCTTTCTCATCTCAAGTAAGGTTCTACAAATTATTTATATTTTTAAATTTTAAATGGAATACTACTAATATTATTTACACATAGGAACTAAACAGCAGAAAAGAAAGAATATATTGTCAAAAGAAAGTGACACCATTACAAGACCCAAGGAAAGTGTTCATACCTTTAGGTTTTGAGGGCTAAGCACAGACACACGACTTGAACACAATTCCAAAAAGACAACCTACGGCAAAGTAAAGCAAGGCATATAATTTCATCATGAAAAGCCTAGAAGCTCGAGGGATGGCATGAAATTGAAAGCAGGTAGCTAACCTGCAGCATGATCCATCTATTAATCAAGTCTAAGTGAGTTCAAAAGGGAAGCACCTGTGGTTTCAGAAAATCGATTATTGCTTGAACTTCTCTACATGATTCCTGAAAGGAAACAGGCATTGTTCAGCAAACATCTCGAGCTCTCACTGTTATATTTACAGATTCCAAGTTTGATGCTGTCTGTATAACATTGCATCCGAAATATTTTGAAGGCATAACCGCATAAGCAAGAATATTGCTATCCATAATCACAAAAGATTCGTTATCTAGAACTTGCCCATGAATTTCCTTCTACAGTTATGACAGTTTTAATCCCAAAACAGATTCCAGGGGAAAACATTTGCTGTTGTGAACAGAGACTTGGTAGTAAATACTCACAGGACTAGCAGCAATTTTTCGTTACTTCAATAAAGAATCAGTGCGAATGAAAATTAAAACTAGCATAACGAAGAGATGATAAGGATATGAATATCTCAAATTCATAAGTTCTACCAACAAAATAGAGAAAAGTTATTCGATGAACTAAGGGGAAATCAGAGAGTGACTGAATTATAGTTATAAATATAATGAATCAATAGAAACGCTCTGCCAAGCTTTTGATGATTCAGAACTGAAACTGAATGATTAGAAAAAAATGATTTTCCTCCCAAAATCAAATACAAAGAAATGAGTTAGTGACATAACACCTGAGAAACGTGAGCTGTGCCAACCAAATAAACTTCACAAACAGCCCCCTCGGCAGACGACTCGCATGTTAGAACTACTACGTTTCTTGAAAGCTCATCGGGGAGCACCCTCCGATCCTCCGGACCCGACGCATCACGACTAGGCGACGCGGTGGCGTCTGCCGGCGCGTCGATTCGAACCATGCTGTCAGACAAGCTCTCGAAAGTAGGTTCCTGAATGTGAACAAAATCTTCGCCTTCGGCAGCGGGTGAACCGAATTCCGGGGGTTGGGAGTCCATCAACGGCAGGAGAGGCTCGATCCTGCAGCTAGCAGAAGTGGAAAAAGCAGAAGCAGGGGCTTTGGGGTTTGATACGATGGAGAAATGAAGGAAGCGCGTGGAAATGGGAAAGGGGAGGGCACAAGTTATTCGGGGCTGGCGAGGCAGAATCAACCGCGGGACTCGGGCGAGTTGGGCAAGAGTGAACGGGCGAGTCATAAACACCAAATCTGCCAAAGCGTTTCGTCGTTAAGATGGTCCTGAACCTGAAGGATGTGCATCGGTGCCCCCGAGTGACGACATTGCCTCAGACCACTTCGATTCCTACCGCAGCTGCTCGGCCGCGGGGACGCGTTATTCCGATTTTAAATTAATTATTAGCCTGCACTTACCTGACAGAAAAAATGATAATTTATTTTTTAAAAATATTATAATTATAATTTTACTAAAATCCTCAAAAATAAAAATTACAGAAATTAATTCATGTAAAAAGATATTTTACCAACAAATTGTTATTTTTTATTTAATTTTTATAATTTTTTAAAATAAAAATTATTATTTTTAAATAAAAATTATTATTGAAGTTTATTATTTTGAGAGCTTGTCTTTAAATAATAAAAATTAGATTTAACAAGTTATGATTTTTCATTCAACTCTTACAATTTATATAACAAATGTTATTATTTTTAAAATAAAAATTATGATTGAGATTTATTTTTAATAATATAAATTACACTTGATAAATTATAATTTTTTATTTTTTTGCTATTTTTTATTCAAAAAATCCTATTCAAATTTTTAAATTTTTTTTCAATTTTTACTATTCATAAACAAATATTCTTATTTTTTAAATAAAAGTTGTGATTGAGACTTATTGTTTAATGACAAAAATTATACTTAAAAAATTATTATTTTTTTATTCAACTCTTATAATTTATAAAATAAAAATTATTATTGTGAATTTTTATTTTTAATAAAAATAAAATAATTTTTTTACTTTAAAATTTATTGACATAAAAGTTCTAAGAGATTTCAATAAAATTATAATATTTTTAAAAATTAAATTATTATTTATATAATTCAAAAAAATTTTAATATTATTTTGTCTACATAATATTATCCTTGATTTGGTTGTCCAAAACATTATTCTCTATGATTTGATTATTAAATCATCTCTTCTTCCTGTGCTTATTATAAATTAACTTTAAATATTTTATTAAAATTAAGAAAAGATAATTAAATTATTAATTTTTCTTAAAAAAGGAGTAAATTTTTATTTTTATTTTTATTTTTATTTAAATAATTTTTAAAATTTACAGTATATTTTCTCTCATAATAAATTTAAATATGAGTAATATTAAAAAATATAATTAATAATACATAATATTTCTTAAAGGGCTAATAAATTAAAAAAAAAGTCCTATAATAAGATCCAAAGAAGTATTTTTCAAGACATTATTAAGTTTATACTTTATACTTTCTGATAATGATTTTATTATATGTATCGTGCTTTTATAGTTTTAATTTAAAAAACAAAATCTCCGTTTCTCTCCGACAGACCAGTACCTGTCCACATTAATGTCAATGCGATGCTCCATTAATAACATTTTCATAACAAACATGGAATTGCTAAAGCAAAAAAAAAAAAAATTGCCGGGAGGGGGGGGGGAGGATAATGAAAGAATAAGAAACCTACAAAAACTAATGAAAAATCGTTAACTGAACAGAAAAACAAGTTTTATTAGACTCAATCAACAATAAAAATGAGGAAATAAATATAAAATAAAAAAACTGTGACTATCGGACATCAACTCGATCGTATCTGCGGTGCTTGTAAGTTGTAGCCCAGGTCTCGTAAGAAATAAAAAGGCCCTGCATGCCGTACTATTTAGTAGCCTATCCCTGATGTAGTTGAAAATAACCTAATAAAATCTCCAGAAGTGATCCTAATTTCTATGAAAATTTCAAAAAAAAAAAGGAAAATGATAATGATTTTCTATCCTCTAAGTATTTGTCTATCGTCTTAATTTTTGAGAAAATGACAAATTTGCCCCTCCAATCTCAAACCCCCCCCCCCAATTTCTTCCTCTTCCACAACACCATCATCTTTCTTCCCTGCACCCAAGACTCCAGTGTATCATTATCAACACTCAGCCAAAGGAGGGGAAAAGAAAAAACTCAACCCATCTCTTGAAAGCCGAAGGGTTTGGCAATTCAAAGGACATGAAGAAATCCATAAGTGACATTAGATGTGTTTAACTTATATCTATCCCGATTGGTTCGATTTTGTTCCAATTATATTAGGACAATTCTCGTCCCAACCCAAAAACAATCAAGAATGGACAAGAAATGAATTACAAGATGGGACATGATTGTTCTTGGGACGTCCCATCCTGTCCTGAATATTATGTATATTTATATATTATTTTTTAAAAAAATATGTATTAAATATATTAATTATATCAATATAATTTATATTTATATTAATTATAATTTCAATAAGTACAATTCTTATTTAAAATTAATTTTTTATATTAATAATTTTAATAACACAGAGTAAGCAATACATAATAATATATTTCTATATATTATTATAATTTATTTTTATATCTATTTATTTAATAACTTTTGTTATATCATATTTCTTATTTTATTTTTAAAAAAGTAATTAACTTAGCATATTTCACCAGCACACAAAATTCAATCCATGTCAAACATTAAAACCTCCAATTTTTCAGGCTTCCCTTAACATCCAAGGCACCCTACGCATGAACAAATCATCATAGGATGGGAATATATGATCTAAGCTTAAGAATGGGGAAAAGCCCTCTTGCATTGCATCAATGAATTCACTGAATGGTGCATCAATATTATATTTAGAGTGCTAGTAATCACGATGATGTTCCCATTGACCATTCTAGCTGCGAAGGATACAGACCTACCTCCAATGTCGAGCTATTCCTCCACTCCATACAATGCATTGGACTCCTGGGGTGAGGGCATGTCAAAGGGGAGGAGAAGGAAGACAGATGATGGTGCCGTGGAAGATGAAGAAACTGGGAGGTGAATCAATACTTAGGTTGAGATTGGCAGGGCAAATATGTCATGTAAAAAAATTTGACAAAGATATCTTTAAAAACTAGAAAATAATTATCACATTTTATGATCCTCATTTGTCATTTACATAGTTCAAAAATATTTTATTGTCATTTTCTCAAGAAAAAAAGAATCGCAAATATTAAACATAACTGTACAAACGCCTGCACCAAAGCGACGTAACAATATCCACTAAAGATTAATGATTGTCCACAACGACACACCATTTGACTGATTAGTGATTGATCAAATACAGATATCAAACAGTCGACACAATTGACACTTGGGTAGGGGGAAGAATGTCTGCGATCCAGTCTCATGCACAAATTTCAAATCCAATAGGTTAAAAAAACACAACAGAAGCCTCTTTAAAAGCGTCATATAGATACACAGTAGTCCACTCATCTGACAACCTTAGGTGAGCACCTATTAAGCTTGAAGAAAACTACCAAGTGTCCAAAGATTTCCAGGCAAACTAAAAATTTTTATGGTAACTATGGAATTCAAGACGCAGGTACACAGGAGAAATTCGTGTTTTAGGGGTTCAAGTCTCATATAGATCCAAAGAAATGTTCCAGGGATGAGGCACCGAACACATTTGCAGCAGTTCGTTCGATTCTGACGGGAGAGACATGAACTTGGTACTTGATAAACCTCTGCATCATAATTTGTTGTCAATCATTAGAAGATGAAAAGCATGATTTTATATGTACCTTAGAATATATACATTAGAACATGCGCATGACAACTGCAAAATAAAGTTCACAAATATTGACATACGGCTAATTGAGTTATAACTTCAGGATTTGTGTCAATGTGCCAATCTGGTTCCAACTGCCGAACAAATGATGACCTTCCATTCTCCGTGCTGCAGAAGAGGACCTGCATATAGGAACCAGAGATAAAAAGATATAAAAAGTTATAACAGACGACAGAGAAATAGGCAGAAATAGCAAGGGGTGACGTGACCCACGAAATTCACAGCAATTATGAGGTACAATGGAGAAATTCGTTGAACAAATCAGGAGTATTACATTAACCACTACATTTTCTACCATGTGATTTTGCAACATTTCTACAATCTGCAAACCCAGGACTGGGAGAGTCACAACTCACGAGACGGCATGACCAGTTAGTCATTTCAGTCCAAGGACATCATGAAAAGAAAACTAAGAAACCACAAGCAGATAAACAGTAGCACATTTCTCATCAGATCCACATGTCCTAGATTAATGGCTCTGTACAGCATTCAGCACACCACATGGAATCTGTCTTTGTTCATCCCAATGTCCATCAAAATTCTCTCCAAGAGTAATCATAGAGCTAAGGCTTCGTTTGGTTGGGGGTTTATGGAAGGGAGGGGAGGGGAGGGAGGAAGGTTGTTTGGTTAGGCAAATTGAAGGGGAGGGGAGGCAAATTTTCTCTCTCCCCTCCCCTCACCTCCCCTAATGTTGCTCCCCTCCAATTTGGGAGTTTTTGGAGGGAGGCATATTTTATGACGAAAATGTCCTTATTGTTCTCATTACATTCTAAATATCATTACTTCAATCAAATAAAAAACATGATACTACTTCTACGTGCCATCGACTATCTATTACTAGCTGCTATATATATGTCTTCAATTCTAATCCTAACATATTTTTCTACTAAAAAATATATTTAAAATTGATTAGATAATTGGTTAAAATTAATGAAATAACCTTTTTAAAAAAAATTATCAGAATTTATCATAAACAATTCTGTAGTTGAATATCATAAATAGATGAGATAAAAGATTTTTAGATTCAAAAATAAAAAATAAATTCTGATATAAATACCCTTTTTTATAAAAGAAAAGGAGTAAAATAACATAAAGGCACATATGTCATTCTATAATTATCTCCCCTTCCCTCCCCTCCTGAACTAGACAAAAATTGTTTAAACACCTCCCCTCCCCTCCTTCTAAACCAAACAAGAGTTCTTTAAACCTAAACTCTTGCCCTCAAATCCCCTTCCCTCCCCTTCATTAACCTCCCCTCCTTTGAACCAAACCCAATATTAATGTATTTCCATAATGATACTCCTAAAATTAGAAAATTGCCATCTGCGCCACCATCAATAAAGATGTCTTAACATAAAGAGCTTGATACAAATGTTAATACAGGGTTTCACCTGCAGAGCCAATGTCACTATATTTTATTTTTTGTCTGAATGTCACTACATTTTGAAAACTCTGCCTATGTTTATAGCCGATCCCAAGCCCAGGTAAAAGAGGAGGGTTGTGTTAGGCCATCAACAGCCAACGTAAAACTTTGTTGAATCTATCATGAACATGGACAATAGACGCTATAATGTTAATGCTAGGTCATTGCCCGTAAGTAACGCGCTGCATGGCTCGAGTACAGTGATAAGTGAGTTAGAGCCACTGCATCGGCGCCCGGATGTAGTGTTAAATGAACAAGGGCTACCGCGTCATTCTGGACATTCGCGGCTAAAGAAGTTAGTCTATGAGAGCAAAATTAGATTTGTTACTTGGAATGTTAGGACATTGAATTGTAAATCTGTAGAGGTTGTAAGGGTTATGATTCAAAAGAAAATCAATATCCTTTACCTACAAGAAACAAAATGGCGTGGAGAAGAAGCTAAGGATATTCAAGGTTTCAAACTTTGGTATACAGGAAAAGTAAGTGCACGCAATAGAGTAGGCATCATTATGGATAAGGAGTGGAAGAAGAATGTTGTAGAAGTTAGCAGAATTGGAAACAGAATTATATCCTTAAAAATGATAATTGGACGCGAGACTGTTAATATTGTTAACACTTATGCACCGCAAGTCGGGACAGAAGCCAGTCTTAAGGAATTATTTTGGGAAGATTTGGAGGGGTTGATTCGACACACCACAGAGTGAAAAGATTTTTATTAGAGGAGGCTTTAATGGGCATGTTGGGAGGGAGGTTGGTCAGTATACAAGGGTGCATGGTGGTTTTGGTTTTGGAGAGCTAAACAATGAAGGACAAACTCTTCTTGATTTCTCATTGGCGTATGATTTTAAGATTGCCAACACTTGTTTTAAAAAGAGAGATAAGCATCTCATCACTTACAAAAGTGGAGCCTCAAGGTCACAGATTGATTTTCTTTTGATTAGGAACACAAATAGAAGACTTTGTAAAAATTGCAAGGTTATCCCCAGAGATGCTGTAACGACACAACATAGGGTCCTAGTACTTGATGTGTCTATTATGAGTAAAATCTAAAAGCGTCGACAAGTAGTATCACCAAGGATTAGGTGGTGGCAATTAAAAGGTGAAAAGCAAGATATTTTCAAGCGAAGTCTTTTGGACAAAGGAATTTGGGAATCTCAAGGAAGTGCTAACATCATGTGGGAGGATATGGCTAAAAAGATATGGGAGGTTGCAAAAGTAATTTTGGGAGAATCAAAAGGTTTTGGTCCAAGAGATAAGGAGTCTTGGTGGTGGAATAATAGTGTACAGGACAAAATTAAGTATAAGAAAAACTGTTTTAAAGCCATACATTTGTGTAACAATGAGGAAAATTGGGAGAGGTACCGTATGGCTAAACAAGAAACTAAGGGAGCTGTGGGTGAAGCTCGTTCTAAAGCTTTTGAATAATTTTATAAGAGCCTTGAGACGAAGGAAGGAAAATGAAACATTTATAAGATTGCCAAGAGTAGGGAAAGAAAATTAAGGGATCTAGAACAGGTAAGGTGCATTAAGGATGAAGGGGGAAGAATTTTAGTTACAGATGATGAAATTAAAAATAGATGGGAGACTTACTTTTCCAAACTTTACAATGATGGAGAGGGTTCATCTAGTAACTTGGAGGATTTAGTAACTGATGAAGAAGAACAAAATTTGTCATTCTATCAAATAATACGTGATAAGGAGGTAAAGGAAGCTCTTAAGAAAATGACAAATGGTAGAACCAACGGACCTGATTGTATATCTATCGAAGCGTGAAAATGTTTAGGTGAAGAAGGGGTGAGATGGTTAACTAAGTTATTTAATGTGATCTTACGGTCCAAGAAAATGCCTGATGAGTGAAGGAGAAGTACATTAATTCCTATTTATAAAAATAAAGGAGATATTCAGAATTGTACTAACTATATAGGGATTAAACTCATGAGCCACACAATGAAATTGTGAGAGAAAGTAATTGAGCACAGGTTGAGATTGGAAACAAGTATTTCTGAGAGTCAGTTTGGTTTTATGCCAGATAGATCAACTACAGAAACGATTTATCTACTAAGAGAATTAATGGAAAAGTATCGTTGTAAAGATAAAGATTTACACATGGTTTTTATTGATTTGGAAAAAGCTTATTACCGTATACCAAGAGAAGTGCTTTGAAAAGCGTTGGAAAAAAAAAAGAGAACGGATTGCTTATATTAAAGCCATATAAGATATGTATGAGGGGGTAAAAACTAATATAAGAACGCCTAGTGGTCAAACAAAGGATTTTCCTATAAAGATTGGACTACATCAGGGATCATCTCTGAGTCCTTATCTGTTCAACTTGATCCTAAATGTTTTGACGGAACATATTCAAGGGAAAATTCCTAAATGTATGCTCTTCGTGGATGATATAGTTCTTATAGCAGAGACAAGAGAAGAGGTTAATTGCAAACTTGAGTTATGGAAGAGGACATTGGAGTCGAAAGGTTTCCGTCTGAGTAGGAGTAAGACGGAATATTTATATTGTACATTTGGTAAGAGACTATTCGACAATAATTTGAAAGTGAAATTGGGAGATCAAATTATACCTCAAGTGAAAAAGTTTAGATATTTGGGAGCCATTATTCAAAATGATGGCGAAATCAGTGGAGATATTTCACATAAGATTCAGTCTGAGTGGTTTAATTGGAGAAAAGCTAAAGGAGTTATTTACGACCGTAAAGTGCCTAATAAACTTAAAGGAAAGTTTTATCACACTGCTATCAGACCGGCAATGTTATATAGTAATGAATGTTGGGCTCTAACGGGACAGCAAGAGCATAAGGTTGGAGTAGCAGAGATGAGAATGTTACGATGGATGTGCAGACATACACGTAAAAATAAAATTCGAGATGAGCACGTACGCGAAAAAGTGAGGGTAGCACCTATTGAGGAAAAAATGGTAGAAAATCGATTGAGATGGTTTGGACATATACAAAGAAGACCAAGGGAGGCACCAGTGAGAAGAGTGGAACATATAACTTTGAGTACGATTAAGAGAGGTAGAGGAAGGCCTAAGAGAATACTCTTGGAAATTGTTGAACGCAATCTCTTAATTAATAATATTCATAAAAGCTTGATAAATGATAGAGCACAATGGCGTCTTGCAATCCATATAGCCGACCCCACCTAGTGGGATAAAGGCTTGTTGTTGTTGTTGTTGTCACTACATTTTGAAAGAGAGTTTTTTACACAATCGAGTGTTCATCAACACGTCCAGCATATAAAAGGAAATCCTCAAACACATATATTTGCATGTATGTTGCACATTCTACTGGTTGACTAGAACCAACTTCAAGAAGAAAAATAAGTTCTATCAATAAATATTCCGTACTCTTTGGTTTGGTGCACATTCACATACCTTATCCTTGACCAAACCGCCAGAAGTGAAAACCCCAGCATCTTCCAATGCCACAAGAACTCTTTTCTGCATAATCAATCCATGCATAAAGAATAAACATTTTAATAGTTTGGCATACGGAAACAGAGTAGCAGCATAGAAGCATTACAAGATCTCCTGAAATCAAATGTAATTTGGCACAACATATTAGCAACCACAAAATAAGATTGGATTTAACAAGCTCTAGAAAAACAGCCATTACAACATGGTAAAAAGCTACTAGCATACACTGCTTGGGGGTCAATAAGCTGATCAAAGTCAAGAAAAAGTCATAAGTGATTTAATATAATGTCGACAAGGATAATAGCAAGCTGACAGATTACACACATTGGCAAAAAAAAAAAAAAAACTAGAATTTTCACTTCAAGCAACAATACATCTGAGTTCAATCAAAGTGTTGTCAGCAGTAACAAATTTTTTCTCCACTACACTGGACAACTGCAAGGTTGGCTTACTGATTCCATTATGCTTGTAAAATGTGAAGAACAATAGGATAAATGATTTAGAATGACGTGAGCTCATGAGGAATAATGTTTTAGACAGATATAGGAGACAGATATAGGGGATAAATGATTCTAATAATGTATTATTTGCTGAGGAAAAAAACATGCCGCAGAAAAAGGTTGCACACACCTCGCTTTCATCATCCAAAACTCGTTCCATGAGATATAGATCACAAAATTTTGTTATCTCCAACAATACTTCCAGCACAGAAGACCTTACTGTTGCTTGTTTCTGCCAAGAACAGCACAAGCCACATTGATGTATTTCTTCAGTTTAATTTGTAAACACACACACACAAACACATATATAATAGAGAATTTTCACCACCTGAAGCTCCTCTGGACTATTTTCTTCAAGGATCACCCCAAGAAGGCGACAAGTAACCTACAGCCAAGACATGATACACCATAAAATTCTGGAATAGAAGGCAGGAAACATTGATTGATTGGGCCTCAGACATTTGGAATGCAGGCAAATGCATTTCCTTTTATCTCAATTTTATATTTCATGTTAAGAAGAGACAACAAGAGTTAAGTCAACAGCAGACAAAAATAATTTTGTATAATTTATTTAATTATGTTCCAATTCAAAACTTCATAACATGATTTTATCCATCATGTGCCAAACATCCTTAATCTATAAACCCATTGGCAGGCACAGCCAGTCTGTCTTCCATAACATGGCAGTTTAATTTACTTTGAGTAAGTTAGATAAAATTGGGTTCATGATAGATTCATGTAAACCGTGGCAACAAGAATGCATTAAGCATGAAATAAACTTAATTGGCACAAAAAAGCACAACAGTATTTGTGTTTAGCTACCTTCCTTCCTTCACTTAACCTCTGCCTAACTATTTGCCCCAATGTTGGCTGGAAAAGGGGAAAAGGTAGGAAAAATCAAGTTAAAAATTGCCCATTGTATACAAAGCAACTCAGCATAATTAAGCATTGATATCAAAAGATTTAAGCACTGTCTGAAGCAGTGGGAATTGACAATTACAATAACCTTGACAGGCTGAAAGAACTCATCTACAACATTTTGTGCACTTGCATCATCTGAAGTGGAACAAGCTCCAGAAGGAATTAACGGAGCATTAGAAGGTGCACTAACTCCAGAATTACTAGGCATAGCGGCCGGCCGTTTCCGTTGCCTTCGTTGAGATCCACTAGGCAATCTCACCATTCTCCAGGTGAAGAAAATTGCAAGAGCAAGACCGGCAACTGCTCCAATAGAGCGTGAATCCTGATAACAAGTTTAACATAATGAAAGTTTGCCCATTTAACAAAATTGAGATATGACTAGCTAGAGACTGAGACTTCAATGGAAAATATATGTTTTATATAAAAACAGAACAAAACATTGGAACATCCAAATTTGTAAATTATATAGCTCTAGGTCTGCTCTCTTTCCCAAAACAAGTTACACTCAGAGGCACATGAAGAAAAGATGCTAAAGCCCTAAAACAATACTGTACCATGCTACAAGAAACTTGGATTTTGCTTTAAAATCACAGCTGTGGCTATAGAAACCAGATTTGGGTGGTCCAAGACTTACTCAAGAAATGGAAATGCCTAGTTAATTTGCTAAGATAAAATGATTACGAACAGATTCAACAAATTGATGATCTTTAACTCTATCTATCCAATTAGCCACTTTTTGAGAGGATGATTAAAAGCAAATTGTTGGTTTTCGCAGTGCATGGAATTGATCTAGAGCTTTCAGAGTTTTGAACTGTCCAAAGTTTACGGGTCTGTAACATCATAAAATAACAGAATCACAAAAAATAAGACACTAGCTGATTACAATCTATTTTAGCCTACCCACCTTAAATTTAAAGCTCAAGCATCATACATTTTGCTTTTAACATGTATTCGTCTAACATTGCAATAGAATCATAGAGATGACTTACACATCAGACTTAGGAAGATGGAAGCCTGAAATGGTGACCGGAGACAACTATAGACATGTAAATTGACGCTTTATATATCATACCAGTCTAGAAAGTTCTTACATGTACTTAACAAATGAGCCAGCCGATCCTATGGCACAAAAATTAGTACTCATTCTTCAGATAGCCAATTTAATGGCCAATATTTAGATAGGTCATTCACGCCTTCATGGGACTAGACTAAAGTCTGATCAGAAGTAGATAAGATTAATAATTACGTTTCAAAATCAAGTTACTTACAACTCACTCAAACGAGCGTTAAATAGACGCATATGGTCATAAAAATACTTTCATAACATTAAACATCGATATCTTCAGATAGTGAAGTAGTTTTCATTGGTCGGTTTCAGCTCCCGCTTAAATCAGGTAATAAAACAAACTTTGAGCCTTTTATGCTTGCTTTTGAGCTGTTCTCCATATACTTTTTTTCTGAGTAACCATGTCCCTTTCGTCAATCACAATTCTTCCAAAATTAGAGTTGATAATTATTGAAAATAAAAATTAAGTGCTAGCACAATCAACTACAACTTGGGAAAGCAGCAAACAAAACGAAACACAAACAGAAGGGCGGAAGGCAGAAAAGAAGATATTGAATAAACGCATTGAACCAACTATGATTCCAGAAAATAAATGGGAGAGCTAAACATTCTTTTCCTCACATAAGGGATATCAGATCCGCCAAAATGGCAGATAAATAAATGAGCAAGACAAAAATTAATTGCTTGTAGAGAGCAAAAATACCAGGTTCTGTAAGAAGATTGATATGAAGTTTGACATCTTGACCGTGATTAAATCTCTCAATCGTTTGATGAGCTGAAACAGCTCTTCTTTCGAGGTGTCAACCATGGTTCACCTCCGCCTAAAGAGGATTTCTCAGTTCCAGAACGATGACGTTCAATAGGATTGCTCAGACTCGCAGGCCTTTCATCGCCGACCACTGTTCGAAAGAGAGAGAGAGAGAGAGAGAGAGAGAAACTCTGTCCAGCGTCTGTACGTCAACTACGGCACAGGAAGAGAGCTTTCGAGGATTCCATGTGAAGAGGGTTAACTCGAGAAAAGTGAAAATTAATCAGTCAGCACCTTTTATTGAATTGTAAAATGTAATTTTTTTTAATCAACAATTGTAAAATGTAAATTTAAGATTTAAGATTAGGAGTAACACTTATTTTTATTTTCAATCTGTTACACGTACCCATTGAATAATTTTTACATGAATGTTAATTTGTTAAACTTTTTCTTTTTATTTTTAAAATCAATGTGAATATAATTTGAATATTGTCAAAAAAAAAAACAATCTTATCTTATGTATATCTATAAGTCCAGACCGGAATTTTTTTGTTAAATATCTATAAGCCCAGACTGGTATTTACAAATAGATTTTAAACGTTTAATGTATTTTTTCAATTAAATTGGAATAAGTTTGAATTTTAAAAAATTAAAAAAATGGTAACAACACTTAAATGCAAGTTAAATCATTACACCCGTTTTAAATTGATTTTAAAAAACTCCTTTTCATCCAAAAAAAAAAACTTTAAGTATTACAAGGGATATGTTTCAATTTAACATTATATGACTTTTTCTCTATCACTTGGTAAGATTTACTAAGATTGTTGTTATGAAAGTGCAAGGAAACATGAATAATATGCTATTATTTGAAACGCAAGCTTTTGTTATCAAGTTTGGCAATATAACAAGAGCAAAAGAAAAATGTACAGATAGGAAATTGGAAGTATTCACACCCATGTAGATTTTGATGTGGATTAAATCCTTTGTGCTAAGTCTCTATTTATAAGTCTTTAACCCTGTACCCAAATGTTACAATTTCATAAATAGAATTATTCTACATTTTGGTGCAACATTAAATTATAGGAATAAATATTAGAAAACCATCCATCCATTTAAGAACTACAGGGTGTAATGACATTAACCATAGGATGGAATCATAAGAAGCTATAAAGCTATGGACATCCACTAACAATAACATTCATGGTGCTCTCTTTAAATGTCCATCAACAAATATTGTGCTTCATTAAAATCTTATTAAAAAAAACTCAATGAAACAAAAACCTAGTGATGGATAAAAAATTACATAATAAATATTGAAATGCCTCATTAAAAACCTTATCAAGATAATCTTATGAGACAAAACCTTAGTTAAGAAGAAAAAAAAGTACAATATTAACTTTACTCCCTTGATGAGGACATCAATTTAACTCTCCCCAATAATAATATTACTTATTATCATATCTCAATTAAGAATATTAATTTTTCAAATGTGATCATTGTAAATATTTTTTAAAGCAAAGATTGTTTTTAGCCAAATTATACATGATGCATTTTTATCTTACATATTCTTCTAACATATTTATTGGATATGTTAAATTATCAATCTATACTATATTTGTCTTATGCATTGTGGAGATCACCAAAAAAAAAAAGTTATTCTAAAAGTCATCATGATACATCTTATATTTGCAGGTTCAATTGTTTAAGGAAAAAAATGATCTTATATAATGGTTTCATAAAACTATACAAAACCTTCATTTCAATATCCATTATATACTTGCAGGAACTTAATTTTGCTTACAAAATTATAAGAAATGCAGCATGTAAATATTATTGTATAATAAACATATGACATATATGGACCATATGTTGCATATAAAATTATCATAAAAAGATATAATGAATTTAAAATCATCAAGATATTTAATAATTTGACTTACCGGTCGAGTAAAATGAAAATTATACATTGTTTTTCAATGCATATTTGCTAAGTTAATTACACACACACACTCAGACTACTTTAACTATTTTAATCCACATATCATAAATGTGGAGATGGAAAATGGGAAGAATTTACATTCATATAGATTTTGATGTGTTTACAATCATTTGTACTAAGCCTCTATTTATAGGCTTCCCACCCCATGCTTGAGAGTTATAATTTTATAAATAAAATTATTCTACATTATGGTGTAACATAAAACTGTTGAAGGTTGTAAGAATAAATATTAGAATACCATCCATTTAAGAGCTACAGGATATAATGACACAAACCATAAGATGAGATCCTAAGAGGCTATAAAATTATGGGCATTCGCTAAGTATAATATTCATAGTAATTATATCATTTACATGTACTCATGTGTTCGCGAGTGGTGAGGAATCCTCTTTTTTGGAAAAAATCTTTGGGTTTTGGGAAAAGGTGAGAAATCCTCTTTATCAATTCTCAAGATACATAAAAAAAAAAAAAAGAAAGAATTTTTTAGGCCAAGAAATAAAGTTTGAATTAAGATTAAGATAACATAATTTTCATTATTCAATGCAAGCTTTAATGTTATCATCATCTGTTATTTGATGAATGCACGAAAGATTGTTAAATGCTCTCAAAATGCTATGCCATTTATATATTCTCTCTTGTGAAACTAATCCAGTTGGTTAAAAAAAAAACTAATCCAAAAATAGAGAATGTGAAACAAAAATATTTTATTAAGTAGAGAATGTATGTACATTAAAAAATAATTATTTACTTTAAATTGGTTTTATTGAACACATGATATATGATAGGAGACTCTAGGAATGTCTAATAATTTTTTTTTGAACGACTTAGGCACCGGAGACACCTTGTCCCCATAACCCAGAAACCCTGTCAAGCAGATACAATGAAATGGGTACACACTGGAGCCAAGCATCACCAAATTAGCACCTTCAATAAATGAATACAATACACCGTCCATTTTTGTGAACAAAGAATGACATTTTGTAAGCAAGAATAACTTTTAATGACATGATGGAAAAGAGAGCCAATATCCCCAAAACATTGATAATATATCAAATAATGCTGCCAAGGCATCGTACTGTTCAGTTGCCTATACACTGTGATCATTATCGGAAATAAGAAATTTTTCTTCCTCACTTGACATGTCACTCACTGGGAGCTGAACATGTGACTTGGTATTCGTTTTATTCAACTCATTCTCTACACGGAAAAAGATCCATTGGAAGCGACGGAAAATCTCCAGAGCGGCAATTGTGAACACAGTGAGATGGTTATGGCGGAGATGGGCCGAAAGCTTGTATGTCCATGTACAACGCAGAATTAGATTGCTTCCAATCACCCAAACGTAAACCTGCATGACCAAGCACATATGAACAACTTTAGGACACCGTAGAACAATCTTTTATTTTCTTTAGCATATGTAAACCCAATATAGACATATAGACGGATAAATTACAAAATCGATAGATATTAGTCAGACGACGTTGCTTTTAACCATGGGCTAAGCTATTGCAATTATAAATTGATTGACATCCGCTAAAAGCCTAAAACACATCTTTAATTTATCCATCTATTTTAATAATGAAGAATAATGCTTTTAAATTCTATGGCCACACTTCCATAACAGTCCTTTAGTCCTCACCCATCTCCTTCCATGCAAGCTATATGATAGTGGATGCGGTTTGCCGAATTTGAATATCCGAGTGAAGGAACTGAGAATTGAAAAAGGGACATATGTCAGCATGTCACCGGACAAAATGTAATATCAAATAAAATATTGCACTATATATGTATATATGGGTTTTCAACTCCATAATTGCAACTTCTTCACTTGATTAATTTGACAGACACCAAGGACATTAGATAATGTTAAATTTTACGGATGTCAACAACACCGCTAGTCCTATACCTCGTTCGATATAAACATATTAGGATGATCATATGCAACATCACAATATAAACATGCTTTTTGCATGGATTTTTTATCCCCACTACTTTTTGCATGGATTGGTACAGAACGAAATTCCCATGAAATGATCGCTTGTGCCAAAAAAAAAAAAAATCTAATCATCACCTTGCAGCTCATCCTCCTAGCACAGCGCATTGGAAAGCAACAGGAAAAGACTCTATAATGCAGTAGTTTATGCCTGATTTGCCATGCTACTATACAAGATAAAAGGTTTAAGCCATTTCTTAGTTCTCACATTTTATTTATGTTTAATCACGAGATAACATCACTTTTCTGTGACAGCAACATCTATTTCTCTGAAGTTAAAAGCTAAATTCAAAAGAAGCTGTTGAACAAGGGAGAGCAAACATTGGGCATACCTCAAGTCCCAATCTCGAGTCACATCCCAATAGAAAGAGTATAATGAGTTTACAACACTCGAAAGAAGCCAGAGAGGCCTATATAAGTTTGTCCAATTATCAGGAAAGACGTGATACTTGAGGGCAGAAAGAAAAATTACTGGCACTGCCGTGGAATATTTTAAGGCTGAAACCATAGGCAAAAAGTTAGAATTGACACAATGCTGCATAACCATCCTAGAAAAACCATGATAAGTTATTCCAGAAATGAAGTCCTGAACCACTTGGAAGCATGATGCACAGATTTGATAAAACATCCACTAGACTATCAAGCTCTGTATGATATGGATTCGACAAAAGATTAAGGGCCCATTTGTTTAAGAATAAAAAATAAGTAATTTTTAAGTAGTTTAGAGATTTTATAAAAAGAGATTTATTTTATAACAAGCAAACATTATTTTATGTTTGGTTATAAAAATAAAAAAGTGATTATTAATTAGTTATTTTTAAATTTTATGATATCTTCTTTATTTTTGTTTCATAAAAATGATTTATTATTATATTATTTTAAAACTTTATGATATTTTCACGTATCCCACCTCTTTAAAACACTCTCATCTACAGAATTAGATTATTTAAGTAGTTTCTTAAAACAATCAGAAATCTACTTTTTTTGGATTCTGATTATCTTCAGAAGTTTGAACAAACATAATAAAAACTTATAAAATAGATTTTTTTTTCAAAAAATAAATAATTTTTTCATGAAATAAGCTAAAACAAACGGGCTTTAATCAAATAAATTGCAAGCGACCCAAAAACTCAAGCCAATGTAAAATGTCAAATTTACAAAATTTGCAAAAACTTCTGTAAATAATATAATTTTTTAGAAAGGAAACAGAAAGAAAGAGACTTCTTACCATTCAGAAGCGTAGTTTTCTCCCCAGTATCC